TTTTTTCAACTTCTGTCCTCCAACAATAACATCATAAAATTATGTTAACTGTCAGTCTCATTTGTCATGCTCTGTGGGCGGGACTAGGGCGGCACATGAACAGACCCTGATGTCTGATTGGCTGCTCCTAACAGCAAGCAAAGACAAATCGACCACAGATAATGGATTGATCTACAGGCAAGAAATATAATAATAATAATAATGTCATCACAATGTCAGCACTGTATGTTTCCATACAATGGCAAAATTGGTCTTTGCATTTAACCCATCCACCACCAGGTGGTGCAGTGGGCAGCTATTGAGGGTGCCCGGGGGGCATTTTGGGGATGAGGTTTGCTGCCCAGAGACACCACGTGATGTGCAGTGACTGGGGATCGAACCTGGGACTTTCGGGTCCCAAGCCGGCTGCACTGCCTCTACACCATCTTGGCCCCTGATATTCTGAAACTTTATGAAGCGGTAATTGTGTTAATGTGTATTTGGATGAAACCTTTTTTCATACAATGAATGTCAAGAAGACGCGCTTTTACAAGAAGCAGCTAATTTAAACCAAGAGGTTCTCTGAGGCAGAATCCGACCCGGCAGCTATAGCACTGCAGCAGAGGCCTGTCTGGGTCCCAAACCCTGGCCTGTTCAAGGTAAGAAATATAATATTAACTTGGGGTAATGCTCGTGAAACTCTGGGGGAGCTTTTATATACCTAGCTTGGCTTAAAATATCTAACCAGTTCACGAGAGAGCAAATTAAGGTCCTGTATGGTCGGAGCTGCCATGTATGAACTGACTTCAGACCGAAGCAATGGATTTCACATGATCAGCGTTAGTCCGGCCCACTGAGTTTGACAAGTGAGACTGACAGTTAACATAATTTCATGGTGATACACAAGGGTGGAATGTGACAAAATTAAATAAATATCTACATCATAAAATAAATGACTTTGTGTATTTTATAATTTACTTGTATTTTTAATTGTGCATTTAATGATTTAATGATGTATTTAATATTTAAATGATAAATTTCATTATTACGCATTTATTCATTTTGTCACATTCCGTCATCCATACAATCTGACCTCTGTGGTGTTGTCAGCAAACCTGACAATGTGGTTGTCGTTGTGGGATGATCTGCAGTCATGAGTGTAGAGACAATATAGGAGGGGTCTCAGCATATAGCCCTGTGGTGAGCCAATATTCAGCATGCGAGTGGAGGAGAGATGGGGGCCAAGTCTCACAATCTGAGGCCGGTTAGTGAGAAAGTTCTTTACCTAGGCACATGCGAGAAGGAGAGGTCGAGAATATCCCATTTGGTGATGAGAATGTCCGTGATGATTGTATTAAACACCAAACTGTGATCCACAAAGAGCATCTGGAAGTAGCTCGGCTGCTGCTGGTGGCTCAATGCAGAGTGATGGCAGTTGTGTCCTCTGTGGACCTGTTCTCACTATGTGAACTGATATGTGTTGAAGCCTGGGGGGAGATGGCTCTTGATGTGTTGAAGAACAAACCTCTCAAAGCACTTCATGATTATCAGAGTGAGGGCCACAGGACGATAACCCTTCAGGCTGGTGATGGAGGACTTCTTCAGTACTGGAATGACTGTAGTTTATTGTAGGCAGGATGGGATGACAGTCTTGGTCAGGAAGAGATTGAAGATTCTGGTAAAGATGAAGGCAAGCTGGTGGATGCATGCACTGAACACCTTGCCAGTGTAAGGATGGTACCATTTGCTGGTTCTGTTTGTGTCGGTGTTTCCCTAGTGTTTTCCTCGTCAGTTTAATTGGTGCCACCTTTGTCTCGTCACAGCTGTTGTAATCACGTCTCGTCTTGTCCTTGTATATAAGCCTTCTGTTCTGTTTTGTTCCTCGTCGGGTCGTATTCGTTGGGTCTCTGTGTTCTCCTGTGTTCTCCTGCGTCTCCCTTGAGCTCTCCTGAGTCCTCCCTGAGTTTACCTCTGAGTCTTCTGTATTAACGTAAGTTTTACTGCCACGTCAGCTGTTTATTTTGTCATTAAAATATTTATTTTTATAATCTGCCGAGTTGAGTCCTGTCTGCACTACTGGGTTCATTCCTGTCCACCAAATCCTGACATTACGACCCGACCACACATCAGAACCCAGTGGGCAGGGCTCTCTCGGCAACTTACCTTTTTTCTTTTTCCCCTCCGAGCCTCCTGAGATGAGCAAGCCTACAATCCGGTGCGGCGGGTTCTGCACCAGGCCCGTCCGCCCTCAAGGACATTATGACCAGGAGGTGGAAATCCTGTTCTCACCACTCCTGGTCCTCGAGGAGAACAGAGCTCGGCACCGGGGAACCCACCGGGCTCCTGTTTCTGAGTCTGCCTCGCCCGGCTATTCGGGGTGGACGTCGGGGGAGGACAAAGAAATCGAGGACGAATTCCGTTTTGTTCCTGTCCCCCGACCCTCCCGCCGTCGCCGGGGAGGTAGAAAGCGGTACCGGGGGCAGTCTGCAGCGATCGGCCCGGTCTCATCGGCTGAGCAGAATCTTAGAGTTGGTTCCG